TATTCCTTTTTAGTGAAAACGTTTCTTAGTTTTTTTATTACATTCTTATCTTTATAATTACTATTAGAAATTGTTAAAATTTATAATAAAAAATAAGTTTTTTTTTAAAAAATAATTTATTTCAATCATGTATAATGATAACATATAATAATAATACATATTCTATAGTTACATAGATCTTATAATAGTACATGTAAAAGTATGTGAGGTATAGTACTTAGAAATCATGTAAATAATTAAAGTAAATAATAGTAATAATTTGAATTGTAAAAATTTTTTGTTCTAATTAGATACAAGTTATTTTTTTGGTTATTTTTAAATTTTCTTTAAAAACAATTATCATCGCTTATGAATATAAAATTATGAGACACGTTTTTTGGCATAGTAATGATCATTTTATTGATCATCATTTAAAATAAAACATTTTTGAAATTTTATTTTTAAAATATAAAGTCTTTAAATTATTGAAATTTTATGTAATGAATTAAGTATTTGAAGACCCAAACTAATTGTATCTCTAGTTGTCTAATAAATACGAACAATTATGAGTATTTTGGTTAGATGTATATTGTATAATAATAAAAGAATGTAATGGTATATATGATGCTCCTCATAAAAAAATAATTGCTAGCTATTCAGCTATTTTTGTAGGATATTATACTTCATATATTACATCATCAATTTGCAGTATTTTTATTTTTAGCTACTTGATAAAATAAATTCTATAATCTTTTTTAGGATATTTTCAATTGCATTCTGCATAAGAGCTTCTTATTTTTGTCATAAATTTATTATATTTACCACTCCAATACTTTAATAGAAAATAAAAAACAAATCGATCATAATCATTTTACCAAATATATTAGAATAATTGCTATTTTAACTGCAGATCAATTGGAGGTATTTTTGGAAATTAAATTCAAACCAGTTTAGTTTTTAATAAATTATAAATATTTTTTTATTTGATTTCTGCTTTGCTTTCCATTCTGTTAATTTAATTTATTACAACTTTTAAAATTTAGAATCTTTATTATTACATATTGCACAATTTATTATAAATAAACCTTTGCAACTTTGCTTTACTAATATCCATATTCTGTAGATCAGTCTGGACTGGTCATTATTATTTATAGCATAAATTAAGGTTTAATTTTATAAAATACTAAATAAATTGTTTTTATTTATATAATATTACAAAATTAGAGTTGGTCAGGTTTTCATCCTCTTATGTAACAGACTGATCCATAAGTTAGTTCTTAGTTCTGTCCTAAATTTTACTGTAACAATAATGTTCAAAATTAAAATTTCAGAAATGAAGAAATAATGAGAGATTAAAAAGAAGCAGTTATGTAATTATTATTATTATTATATTTTTATTAAATTTATACAATTATTTTATTAAATTGAATGTTATTTCTAAATTGATTCTTAGACTGTTCTTATAATTTTTCTGATTCAAGAAGAAAATGAATCTTAAACTGGAATGGTCTGATAGAACTGAATGGTACAATACTGGTCTTAAAACCAGTCCTTAGACTAACTTATTAACTAGCCCAGTCTAAAAAAAAATGAAAGACTGATCTTTTTAAACTAGACTAGACTAATCCTACCTAGATTTGAAAGAATCTTAAACATGCATTATGAATCTTAAAAGTTTTTTTAAAAATAATATATAAATAAATTAAAGCACTATCTTTTTTCAAAAAAATTATCATATTTCTAGTCAGGTATTACCTCTGTCTGAAACTTTTAAAAGTGAATATAAATGGTATAAAATCTGAAAAAAATCATTCAATTACTATATTACGAAGTTATCTGTATAAATTGGTCAAGTTATTAGCTTTACATTATAACATAAAAAATTCAAGTGGATAATTATAATGATATTTAGTAATTATTAATAATATCAAGTTAAAAAAGCTATTGCGAAAGAAGTTAAAGCTTATCTATTATAAATCAGAATATTATTGAACTAAAAAAATGACAATTGCTGCAGCCCACAATGATCTAATATAAAGAAATCGTACAAAAAATAAAATAAAAAAAGAAGTTTAAAGAACAAAATAATAATAATAATATATTAAAAGCTTTATAGCTGATAGAGATAGATATATAGTTATGATAAAACTGATTTTAAATTCAGTATAATCTGTATTTATCTGAATTATAAACAATTTTACTAATTTAAAAATTGAACTGGAACTGGTTCAGACTAGCATAAATGAGTCTGCTCAAAATTATATTGATTTAAAATAAATGAATAAGAAAAAACCAATTAAACAGAAGGTCTTAATGGACAAATTATTAACCAAAAACTAAATTATGAAAAATGTTATCATATAACACTAATTATATGCTGATAACCTGTCAAAAATTTTTAATATTACATGCTTTATTTTAAAGTTCATAGAATCACAGCAGAATTGAAGAAGAATTGAGTATATAACATTGTCTCCCTAGCTGTCTTTTCTTGAAAGTTCTAATTAGATATTAACAAAAACTTAAGTATTGTGCAATATCACATTCAAATTATTTCTTAGATGCAAAAAAAAATTATTGTGAATTCTATATTATTGGTACTTATGTATAGGTAAATTTATAAATTTTGCCTATAAAGAATTTCTTCATCTACTCATTCTCCTTGATAAAGCATTCCTTTCTGAATGAATACCTTTTTATAGAAATCCTAATATTATCCAAATCTTAAAATAAGTAAAGAATAAAAATAACTTTCTGCTTATTTTCTTTGTTTGGAAGATTTGTTTTTCAGATTTGCAAGTTTCTTTTAATAATTTTATGTATAAATAGATACTTTATATGCATATTTCATTTATTCCTCTACACAGCATTGAAGCTACACTGATATTAAAATTCGAATCAATCGATATATAAGATTTTATTTTTACATTTTTAACGAACTTATTAAATAATTCTAATTTGACCCTATATCAAGTAATGATATTGTAGACAACCAGGTTTTACTACTTATGATAACATTCTGAAACAAATTATTCTATCACATCATAAACATATTAGATAAGAAAATGTAGGAATGGATAATAATTTTTAAATAATGAAAAGGTGTCATTATTTATAAATCAAAAAGTTTTATCTTGGTTATAACTTGAGGAAAATTCTTCCTTACTTACAAAAGATAAAGATGAAACAGAATCATATGATGACATTTTAAAGTATAATGGCATTATTTCTTACAAAGATAAATATCACAACAAACTGATTTTAATGTTGTGACTGAAATTGATTTTCGTCTGAAGTTGGAATTCAGATAATCTTCGAGTGTCTGAAATTGAGATTCCAAGTTCAATTAACTGAAATTGGAATTCTAACTTCAGACAACTTATAAAAAACTATTTTAACCAATCACAATATGCCAATTTTTTTTTTTTTTTTTACAATTTCGTAAATACAGTTAACTTTAACATTTTATATTACAGACTTTTAACTTTTGGTTGAATTATAATATAGTTTCGTGGCATTTATTAAATTAATTAAATTTTTGTAGCATTAAATTACAATATTATTTTTTTTCTTTTCTTTTATGGGTTATTTTCTTTTCTTTTCTTTTTTTTTCTTTAGGCTTTTTGATCATATACAGGCTGCTTTTAATGTAGGTTTTCTTTTTTTTTCGATTTTTTTTTTTACTTTCTATATTCATTTTTTATATTTTAATTTTTTTTTAATTTTTTTCTTTTTTTAATTCCGATTTTATTTTTATTCAGTTTTTCGGCTAATAAATAAGTTCATTTTTTATTTTTTATTTTTTTTTAATTTATTTTTATGCAGGTTTTCGACCGCATGCTGCGTCAGTTTCGTTTTCATATATTTTTCAGGTTTTTTTTTTTTAAACTTCAGACCGAAATGATCCAAACTGAAAAAAAAAAAATCATTCAAATAGAATAAAATGTTAGAAACATTCACTTTTTTTTTTCTTTTTTATTCTTTTAAAGCGGCAGAAAGCAAATAGAAAAGGAACTCCTTCCTTTATGATTACCTGTATAATTATTCTATTTTGAAGCTTAGAGACAAATTTTAAAATAAAATTACTTAACTTTTTATATATATTTTATAGAGAAAAGGAATGTTAATTTTTTTTTATTATAATAGAGTAGTAAAAAAAAGAAACAGTTAAAAATCATAATAATTGTAAGTATGAGTGTAGACATGATCACAATTATTTTAGCTCGTATTAATTTCATACCACTTAAACTATAACTGCGCCTTTTTAAACTCGCTCTGATATTTATTTTACTTTTGTCATTTCCAACACTTTCATTTCTTAAAATATCGTATTATTAAATAGATTTTTTGAAATTATGAATAGATTTGATTAATTAAATTTGTATTTATATAAAAATAACATGATAATTCCGTTCCTTCATAATCCAAAGCGCTACGTAAATTTTCTATATTTTGCTAATAAAGATATGCTCAAATATTACAATTTATCGTTGAATAATTATATCTCTTGTATTAACTTTTAAAGTGTACGTATCTAAGAGTGCATATCATAAATAAACTTGTATAATAAGACAAACGAATAACTAATACGAAAAATATTCTTCTACTCAAATTTCAAAAAACATATACTAATCAATTTTGTCGTGATAAAAGTATAGCTCATTAGTCAGCTAGTTAAAACATGATTACACGTCACGCACGCAGGTAAGGAAACATTCGATTGATTATAATTTTTATACACATTGTAAAAATAGAATAGTCTTCGCTTTGATTTAGACAATAAAACCAATAAACTAAACGATGATTTATTAATTTGTGTTTTGAGTCATACCGAACTGGTTCAAGGAGTGGACTTATGAATCAGTTCAGAATAAAAAAAAGGATCGATCCCGTCCAAAGTGTGGTTTTTTTTGGACCTGACCGGACCGATCCTTCCATACTTTTCTTTTTTCAATATGTTTTATGAAAGTTGATAAAAAATAATGACCGAAGTGATAAAGTAATAAAAGTACAAGATAAGATTATAATCGCAATACAAAAATTCCATATGCATTTTTATGAACCGATATTTTGCTATGAGCGTTAGGTAGAACTATTTCCGTCAATTGTGCTGATTGACTACAGCATTATCGCATGATTTAGAGATTATTAAGACCACAACTTAATATTTTAATGTTATAATACTAATATGCGAAAATTTCTAAAAGAGATTTATCGGTTTGGAGGTTTCAATGTAGAATATATGTTTAGGAATATGAAATAAATTTGCAACTAATTTTTATATCTACGAGTCTTCGTAATTTTAGCTCAAATTTTTTAGTAATTTATATTTGTACACGAAATTTATCAAAAAAAAAAATTTGTAAATGTGATAAAACAAAAAAAAAATAGCAGTTGATGAAAAAAAAGCATGTTGTATTCATCTTATTGTATAACATCTTACTGCATTTGGAAGAAACACCAACTTTTAAAATGAAAATATCTAGTTTAGATTCTTAATTAACCTTCTATCTTCATAATAATTTCAAATTATCAATACATGCTAGTTTTTCGAATCATCATAAAGAAAATACTAAATGGCGTTGATGTACAAAATTTGACCACACTTTATTCACCTGCGATTATAATTAATGCAACAAACATTTTCCCACAAATCAAAAAATGAATTTTTAATGAAATTTACTAAACAACAAAATGATATTTAAATAATAAAATTAAAAACAAATTTTTAAGCAACAAATAATATATTAATTAAAAATATACTGTTGCAATATTTATTTATTTTTTATTTCCATGGTTATAGAAAAGTGACTGCACCAGGTGTTTGAAATTCTGCATGATTATTTTTTATATATTTATTTTTTTTAAAAAAAAATTAGCGTTGGACTCTGAGATTGTATATCATTAACGTTAAAAATACTCAATGTCCGAATTAAATTTGGTCTATAATTTTTCATTCTCAAAACCTAATAAAATTCTTTATCGGTAATTACTATTTGATGATTTTTGCTAGTACAATAGTTACAAATTACTATTAGATAACATTATTTAATATAGTTTAAAAACTAATTATTAATTTATTTATTGAAAGTGCAATTTTATAATATTTCTTAACTATCGTCACTTTTTTTGTATTTGTGAACTTTCTTTTTTTCATGATAGTATGATCTTCATCAGGTACACTCACCTACCAAAAGTCACCGGCAGTTGCGAAAATCGGCATTTTTTTTATTTATATTTTTTAAAAAAATTTATACTACCAGAATTCTAAAGTTATGATCTTTCTGAATCTTGTATTAATACATTGTAGGATTTCCTTTACTCTTAATTATAGTTTCAACTCTACTTGGCATACTATTTACCAATTTTTTTAAATAATTTTCAACCACTCTTCTGTCAAAACTGCAATAAGCTCCCCTTTATATTTTAGTCGGGATTAATGCTCATGCACTTTCCTTCCAAGATGATCCCATAAATGCTCAATTGGGTTAAGATCCGGGATTTGAGCAGGCCATGGAATAGGAGATATTAAATTTTCCTCTTTCCATTACAGTACTAAGTTTGCTGGGCATTATCATCTTGAAAAGTAAAGGAAATGTCTTCATCTAAGCTTTCTATAAAAGGTAATAAATGAGTTTCTAATAAATTTTTATATACTTCTCCTGTAATTTTCCATCTAATACTATTAAAGGACCAAGTATATTTTTAACAAAACAGCCCCAAATATTATCTCATTATTACCCGACTTTACTGTAGGAACCAAGCAGTCTACATCGTATTTTTCATGAGGTCTTCTCCATACCATTTGTTGTCCATCATTTTCAAACAAAAGAAACCGGGATTCATCACTCCAAATTACATTATTCCATTCTTCATCCCAGAATTTACGCTCTTGACACCATTTTAAACGCTTTTTTCTATTTTTTTCTGAAACAAAGGGTTTTATTTTTCCAACCCAGCCAAAAAAATCAAATTTGTGTAACACACGCCTAGAAGTACTGGCACTAATTTGGGTAAGGCCAAGTTGGTTGAAACTTTCGGTAATTTCTTAAGAGAAACTTTTCTATTTTTTTTTACTTTCACGTTCATTCAAAAGTGGTGGTCTTCCTGAACGAGGAGGAACATCTGCAAGCCTTCACAAAATTTTTTAATGACATCCTGGCAAGTGCTTCTTGGTATATTTAAAATTTTAGAAATATCACTAGCTTCATGACAGGATTACCCTTGTGAAGTTGTTTTTCTTATAATGCGAGTTTCTAGCTAAGCCTGAAATAAAATATTGCCAAATTTGGTCAGATCTACAGTGATAACTCTCAAAAAAAGTAACACGGCAAATTTTAATTTGCCGATAACTATTTCAAATATTTAGTAGCGGGAGTTTCTCGTCATCTATTGGTCAATTCGTCATAATGAGACGCATCTAACAGTGGTATTTTTTTTTTTTTTTTATCCCTTTAGTGCAAATAGATGAAAAGTTATTTACACATTTCATTTTAAAGACTTTTGTGAATATAAATTTATCTATTGATCCTAGAAATATGAATTTACCACCTTTAGATGCGCATGGTTATGACAAATCTAATAAGATGTATTTTCATCCTTTATAATTACTGGATGATGAGATAATGCGATTTAAAATTTTTAAAAAAGGACCTGCCGGTGATAGGTGAGTGTACATGTGAAGCAGACGATTGTGTTCTACCTTTCGCAAGTGCTGATAGTTGTTAAGAAAGGGTAATAGCATCTACCTAAATATAATTGTGCTATAGGATAATTATCTGCTTTTTTTTTCAAAACATTTAAATCCTTCACAATTGTTTACTTCAAAATCGTGTATATTGTAATAATAAAAAATTCCAAGTAAATAAACATTTTTTGATTCTCTTTAAGCCAGTCAAAAATATAATCAGTTGTTTGGGTAGTTGTAGCAACGCACTTATTAATAAAATATATTGTTTCTTTAAAATTTTCAACCCGTATTTACTCAAAAGTATGAATAATTTATCTGTAGAAATAAATAACCATTTTTGATATATATATGTGTGTGTGTTTTATTTCCGTCTTTAATATGAGCTAAATGAAAGAGATATTTAGAAGTAATAAAAATTCGTCTAAAGTTATTGAATGGTGTTCTTTATGGAAAATAGGCCTAAAGTCTTAAATAATGTTTCGTATCAACAAGGTTTGTTCCAAAATATTAAAGGTAAAAAAAATAATTACTTACTCCGAAACATTATGCAAGGTACGACAGATTTGTTTAGTCTAACGTATTTAACTATAACTGGACGGTTTCAGTTTCATTACAACGTTTCACCACCAGTATCATTTCATCGACACGATCATTTTGCTGACTGTTTTTTTATAAAATTTTATATTATAAATTAATCATTAATAGAAAAGTAAAATAAAAAATAAAACTTCACATTTTAAAAAGGAAAAATTTTGATTATAATAAAAAAAAATGAACTTCAATACCAGCGATCATGTATTATTTATTTATTATGTATTGTTGCTCACTATCTTTTATTTAAGCAGCTTTTAGTAAAGTCTAGTCATTTTACATATTTTATCAATGTTTCATATTATTTAATTAATATGCTTATGGGCAATTAAAATATTTGAATAAAAATATAGCATTTATTGGTCTTAAAAATAATTTTTTTTTTGAATTGTCGGAAAATGACCGTCGGTAAAATGGTTGTCGGCGAAATGATTCTGTCTGTGAAAAATTTGTCGGTGAAATAACGGTCGGTAAAACGTTTGTCAGTGAAATGAATGCAGCCCAACTGGACAACGCACTTGATCGCGGAATAATAAACGTACAAACTATATAGAAAATTTTCCATGGAACAATCAGGTTTGTTCTATTTTATTTATTTTTGTCTTTATATTTAACTTTTCTAATGGTTTATCTTTAATTGGTCAACACTTAGTCGTAGGATAATATTAGAATTATAAAATGATTTTGGATAATTGCATAATATATGTAGAACTTTATATAAATATTTTCATAGAACGTGTTTGCTTTTTTTATTTTTTTATAATTAGATACATCACAAGTTACAAATTTATTATACTAATTTTTAATCATAATATCTATCTTTAATTAGACTATTTTGTATAAAAAAATATTAATATAAAATATTAGCAGATTGTGTTTACTGTTTTTATTATAATATAAAAAATAATTATTATATAAATTAATAATACATTTTATTTTCATTAATAATTCTATAAATATAAGCTAATAATTTTTTTTTAGATTTTTTTTTAATATTATTTAAAGTTTAATTCAATCATTTGGTTAGTTTAGAATAGAGATATATTTTAAAAATATATTTGCAAATCCAAACCATCATTGTAGTAAAAGTAATTAATAAATTTTCAATTTGTTTAATTATAATTATGATTAATAATATATCTTTTTTTATTTAATAATTAAATCAGATAATAAATAATAAATAAATGTAATAATAATAAATAATTCTTCTTATATTAATATATTTTTAATACTTAAATTATTAATATCAATAAAAAAATCAGAGTAATATTCAAATATTGTAAAAAATAAAAATCAGAAATAATGATATTTAAATATTATATTATATTTAAAAATTATGATTTGTTTATTATTACTTGTTATTTAAAAAGTAATATTTAACTATGTCAAAATGTAATATAATCAAATCATAATATTATATTATATTTAATAGTATATATTATATAATATTTAATTTAATAAATTTTAATTATTAATCAAAACTATAATATAATAGATTAAAATTATGATATTATACTATATTATATAATATCAAATTAATATTAGATGATAAAGTGTTATATTGAGTTAAATCTTCAGAATGAAACTTTAGCCTTGAGTTTTTATAATTCTCAGAAAATAATCTAAAAAATTTGCAGGTATCTTAAACATTTATTCTAAAATTTCTATAGAATGACTATCAACATACTATAATGTATTACTAAATTAGTTACAAATTTTTTTCTAACATTTTGTGCAACATTCTTTTTTTTCTAACTACAACCATTATTTTAATTTAATTAAATTAATCTATTTGTAACTTTTATAATGCATTTTTTAGAAAACCATTAAATTATAAAACAAATATATCATTTAAACTAGCCTTTAAAATATCAAAACATTAATATTTATAGAAATTCTGTAAGATTCTATTATTTTCTGTGTTATAAGGTAAAAATGTACATAAAATCCATATTGACATGTAGCTTCTCACAGTGTTAGTAAATAACATCATATAACCTATATAACTTATATGATTTGTAATTTATTATTTATAAACATTTATGACCTTGTATAATTTTAACTAATCAAAAAGAATATATATAATTTCAATTTTATTTGTTTTAAATAAAAATAATAATAAATAATAATAAAATAATAAATAAAATTAAAAAAAATAAAAAAATAAATAACTAATGATAAAAAAGCCTAAGAAAAGGGTTGCAATATTTTGACTTCTCTGATATTCAAAATGCAAAATTGTAATATTTTGATGCCTCTGACTTCTGAAATATTAAATTTATTGCAATTTGCAATATTTTGATGTCTCTGACTTCTAAAACATTAAATTTATTACAATTTGCAATATTTTAACCTTCTGATGTTCAGAATGTTGAATTATTACAAAATTACAATATTTTGATGTCTCTGATATTTAGAACGTTAAATCTATTGCAATTTACAATATTTTGATGCCTCTGACGTTCAGAATATTAAATTTATTGCAAAATTGCAATTTTGCAATAAAACTTAAGATTATATCATATAATTTATGGTATTGTACAGTGTTGTATTTATATTGATTAAACATCATTAAGTGACATTAACTAATGTAAATACTACGGCTAATACAGATCATGCTTTAAATAAAGTTTATTTAATTATAAACATTTTTATTTAAACTTAAATAAAATTTATTCTTTATTATTAATCATTAATAACAGAATTTACAAAAAATTTTAGTAAGTTTAAGTTACAATATTACATAATAATAAAATTTTGTAATATTATTTAAAATGATTTTCGAAATGAGATTTCAAATGATAATTTAGAAAAAAGTGTTAATTTCTTCTGCGAAATTGAAAGTTAAGAATACTGAATATTCTACCAATAATTGGATAAGTGTTGTAGAAAAATTTTGAGCTAAAACTAAAGGAGATACCATTCTCTCTATTTTATCTTATTCATTTTCAATTATAATATTTTTATATTTTATAAATTTTTTTTTCTGATATAAAAGCAATAGATTCTCTAATTCAGCAATTTAAACCAGCATTCAGTCTTTATTAGCTATGATTTCTCAATGTTAAATATCAAAATTGGATGATTCAAAAAATCTACGTGAATCATTACAAGAAATTGATTCCAGTAATACTAACTTAGAAATTACTATGAATACTAGTAATTTATTTGATTTGATAAATAGTGGAGTTTTACAACAGGTTAATTTGAAAATTTACATTATAGATTCTTAAATTTTTACTATTTTTTACTATATAGCAATGTTGTACAAAGATATACTTTTGATGCCCAATATTGTACGCAAATAAACTATTAATATTCATATAAAAAAATATTGGTCTAACAAACTCAACATGATCCTATAGGGCCGTGCGATAATTAAAGGTTATGTCATATAAATAACGATCATGTAAATCATATGACATGCGACTTAATTTTATGACAAATGACAAAATAACTATCGGTCATATGACCAAATGATAAAATGTCATATATTAAGCTAAATGACAAGGTCATCTGCTAACACTGGCTTCCTAAACAATACATTGTGCTGAAATTTTTTTCTCCAACTAATATTTTTGATGGGCTAAACTTCACTTCATAATCTGCTTCCCACCAGTTAGGTGATAAATATAGAATCAATATATTTCCAAAAAAATCTTTTAATTTTGTTTCTTTCTTAACAGTAAACCTTCCAATCCTTCAAATCTTTAGAATTGTAACTTATTTTTACATGTATAATAGGCATTTTGATGGTGTTAAGGATGATTTTGAAATAAAAAAGTGATTGTCATATGATTAGACTAGCAAAGAAAATTTTTAGATTTTCATAATAAAATTGACACGGTCACCAACTTTTTTTTTTTTCATATGTAAATTTTTTATATTGTTTGTATCACACAAATAAATCTTATATTACACAAATAAATGTAAATCTTTTTTTTCGCCAATATGCCAATTTTATTATAAAAAAAATAAATCCTGAATTTTCGTAAACTGACACAGCCAGGTCAAAGAATCTGAAAATTACTTTGCACGGCCTTGTCTCTTAAAGATTGACCAATCAGATGGCATAAATTTATATATAAACTTTTTTATTAATAAACAATAAATCATTAATAAACTCCGAATCTCCGGGTCGATTTTAAAATTTCAATGTTATGTGAACCGAAAAATCGAAGTTGCATGGCCTAATATATCGTATAGCCCGTGTTCATACACCCATGCTTACTAAAAATTTTCTTATTTTTAAAGGTATAAATGTCTTTTTTTTAAAAAAATAGAAGTTCTCAAAGCAAATCAAATATTTTTCAAACGACGAATAATTTGTAATCACTATAAATTTAAAATTGCAAAAAAAATAATAATCAAATTAAAAAGAATTGTTAAAATGAAAAATTTTCTTCCAGTAGTTTAAATACGCAGCATTGATTTGGCCTTCGCTAGAATTTCAGTAACATTTTTACTTGAAAGTGAATTTGATCGCATTAACGTAAATTAGAGGTTGGAACCGGTAATTTTTAACCGGTAAATTAACCGGTTAAAATAGATGAATTTAACTCCGGCCGAAATTCAATTTCCGGCCAGAATTAAGATTTATATGATTGCAAAATATTGTCTAACTCTGGCCAAATTTTTAGTACTGGCCAAGTTAATTTTAACCGGTTAATTAACCGATCAACTAATATTTTAACCGGTTATTAGCCGGTTAAAGAATTTTTGGCCGGTTCCAACCTCTAACGTAAATTTGTATATTTTTATAATCAAACTCAATCTGCTATTTTCCTTTGTACTTATTATCGGGTATGATAAGTAAGCATGGTGTAAACGTTTCACTTATTCCGCCATCTTTTCTAGAATTGGATGTTTTATTTAATAAATGTCAAGTTTGAAGTTTGAACGTTAGATATAATTATAGTCTTGCAACTTCCTTTTTATTTGAATTTTTGACCACAAAAATAATTGTTAAATAAAATAAAATTAAAATAAATTTACATGTTCACAAATTTTATGATAATATTTGTAATTCTGATACATTATACTAAGACTGGACAAATGCTTTATGCTATTGTTGTATTTATTTTACATGCTTGTTTAAAAAATTTAACGATAAATAATTTTTTCAATTTGAAATGAACAAATAAGGCACAGGTTATCGTTTGCTTGTCTAATGTTGGAACTTTTTTTACTTTATAGGTTCCTTTACTATCGCAGGTTTTTTTTTTTAACTTTTCGAATTTTTCGATTTTTATTCGATTTTTGATTAATCCACTTTTTTTTTGACAAAAATTATTTCCACTTCAATTTAACGATATTATGCATTAGCTTCATTAATCGATTTTTTTTATTCTTATATAGGATGCAAATTTTTCGATTACACGGTTTATGTCATCATATGTAACACATTTCTGAATTATGGCGATATTTTTACTTTTTGTAAATGATCGACAAATGATCGAAATTTTTTTCTTTTCAAAAAAAATCCTTAATAAACAAACGTTCACACACTTTTTTTTGTAATATAATCAGCGTAACCTGGCTGGCACACATTTCATACGTATACGTGCATAACAGTCGTACATTAAAATTGGTAACTTTCCCACAGTTACACCAGCCATTTATAATTTGATTAAAAAAATAAATACGCTACGCTACATATTTAGAGAGAGTTTAGATCTTCTATTAAATTGTAAATACATTTATATATTTTATTATTTAAACTAAAATTTAACGAAATTTTATAATGACTATCATAAGATCATCTGGTTTCGTATTCCCAATTCCCAAGGACAACAAAATAAGTGGCCAAGGAGATATGAGAATAAAATTCGTCTCAACGATAGAAAATAAGAATTGGAATCGATTCTACCAAAGTCGAATGAATGTTATGTGTTGTAAAAGTTTTCCAAAAAGTAGAAACTCTCTTTAGTCAGCCCTCTGTTTAGATAATTTTATATTCATCTATTTATTAAACTATTAATTAGAAGGTTAATTCAAAATAAAGGCATTAATGAACAATTTAGAAAAATAACCTGAGTCCCTCCGGTTCTCTATTTTTTCAAATTATTTATAATTGTTTTTTTATTTTTAACACCTTTCCGGTCTTTTTATATTTTTTAATTTTTTTTTTTAATATACTGTTTGTTATTTTTTTTTTATATTGGTAACAAAAATTAAAGCATTAGCGAGAAGAAAGGTTAGAGATTTAGAAGAAACCGAAGTAAGCAATAAAACTAATTATTATTTAGAAGAAAAGTTTGAGAACGAGAGAAAGTGTCCTAAAACAAGCAAGAAACTATTATTGAACTGGAAGAAATCTTAAATTAATCATTCTTATATTTTATATATTTTATTTACATTGAAACTCCATATTATAGAAACTAAGAACAACATTTCAATTGATCTCGAAAATAAAAATGCAATGCTTTTATCCACAATAATAATGTGAATGAGATCAGTAAATTAGGTTTTCTGATTTTTTTTTTTTTAGAAATGTGTACATGAATGATATCACAAAAAAAAAATAATTTGTTTATTTGAATCTGCAATTGGAAGTAGCATATTTATTTTATTAAGACAAAGTAAAAGATTGTAGTTTCTAAATATACCAAAAAATGAATATTTTTTTTCTATTTAATTCGAGGCTTTTATTTTTTCTTGTTTGATTATTTATTTAATTTTAGAGAAATTTCAATAAAATTTCTTTGGAAAAGAAACTTTTCATTATTTCTAAACGAAAAAAATTTGCATTATTTCAAAACTCAAAACAAAAAAATTTTCAATTTTCTTTTTGATTCATAAAAATTAATGTACAATTTCCTTTCGAACATCTGAATGATTCTTTCAAAGCTTATATACGAAAAAGCTTGACTTCTTTACTGTCAATAATAGATTTTCATCATATTAATAAAGTTAGTAGTCTTATTTTGAGAATCAGCAATTTGAGGAGTCTCATTTCCACTTTCTTCATTCGATATCTTATAAATATAAGGTTCGTATATTAAGTTATCTGTTATTTCCTGCTTAGAATTAAAATTAAGAGGAATTGTTAGTTTGATGCCTAAATCAGTAAGGATTAGACAAATCATTACAAAACAAAATAATAACTTTATCATTATGCTTTTAATTTCTACGTTTCAATACTTTAGATAAGCCATTTGTTAACACATATATATTAAAATTACCTGATCACTTCTTAAATTTTGATCCATCTTCAAAGTTAATGTCTAAAATTGAAGGTATTAAAAAAATTCAAGATTATGGCAAAAAAAAAAAAAAAGATTTTTTTTGAAAAATTGGAATAAGGAATAAGTTATTTTTGATTTGTGGATATGTCAAAGTATATAGCCGTTTCAAACGAGTAAATTTAAGATTTTCGAGTCGAGTTCAATTTAAATAATCTACTGTAAATTAAACGGTTACGAAGTCAGAATTAAACAAATATAAAAGGCTTTTTTATATTTTGGTGACATTTTTTGTCCATTTTGTAATGGTTAGCTCAAATACTTGAAAGTCTAAAATGGCTCGTTACGAAGGCAACTTACAAAGGTAGAAAGTCGATTAGTTTCTGCATATGGCAGCTACTAAAAAAGGCTTGGTGATAAGTAATCTTCAAAAAAAAATTTGTCGATAACTGTAAGATTAAAGGTCTTTAAAATATTATTTGTCAAATTGATTGTTTTAATGTTTAAACCAATAACTGTCTTTGATTTCTTAAAGATTATTTTAAAGTGTTTATAAAAAATGTAAGAGGCACGAAAATAACTTTAATTGAATGTTGTACGAATTAAAGGTTGTTTCAGGTTTTCTTTTTGACTTGAAAAGCAAAATATTACGTCATTGCACGTTTACAATTAATGATGAATCGGTAGCGTTTGATTAAATTAGAAAAATGAACATTTCGCTGTTTATTCTATAATTAAACTCTCAAGATTTTAATTACAAATCTTTAACGGAACGTAATTAATATTTTTTAAAAAATGTAAAATTATATTTTAGAATTTTCGATTATTAACTATTGTTGTTTTAGCAACATTACCAACTGATGATATATAATTAGCTTTGCGGAAAAGCTTTGTAGGAAGAATGAATTCTAAATCAGCTAGAAGTCTCATGTATGTCAAGCTAAAACCGCATTTTACAGGGGGGTGAAATAAATATTGCATAATTTATTTATCGATTTTATTTTATATATAGTCACGAATATTTATAATAAATTTAATATTTAGTGTGACCACCGTTAGCAGAAATAACTGCTTGAATTCTAGAAGGCATAGAATTAATTAAATTCTGATATATTTCTTTGGGAATTGATTTCCATTCTTCGATAACTATCTTTTCC